TGTCTCTGATAATTCTGATGTCTGGATCCCTGGCTGAGCATGCACGCATGTGTGTGTATTTTTATTGTTTTTCTTTTTGTTTTCAATGACATGTTATTTCCTTTTTAAAAATATTTTACTTTTATTTTTGAGAGGGAGGGAGGGAGGGAGAGAGAGAGAGAGAGAGAGAGAGAGAGAGAGAGAGAGAGACACAGAATCTGAAGCACGCTCCAGGCTCTGACGTGTAAGCACAGAGCCTGATGCAGGGCTTGAACTCATGGGTCGCGAGATCATGACCTGAGAGCCAAAGTTGGACACTTACCCGACTGAGCTGCCCAGGTGCCTCAACATATTATTTCCTGATGAGCCTGATTAGTTTTTGATTGAATGTAGACACTGCACATGCAAATCAAGAAGTAATCTGAATCCTTGGGATGATGTCATCTTCTAGCAGAGAGGTATTCTGCACTATGGCTGGCACTAGAACTCTCAGTCATTCATCTCGTGTTAGGAATTGGGATTATTCCCCGTTATGACTAGTCTGTTTAAGTTTCACTCCTCCTCCTAATACGTCCCCCTTTTCCCTTCACGGTTCTGCCCCGAGAGATCAGTGTTTCATTAAAGACTCTAATCTTGCTTAGTTTTTCAGTCTTTTAGCTTCCTCTTCTGAGATTAGGGGATTCCAGTTCATGGAAAGTAGTCTCAGGCACCAGGTACAGACTCTGGGTATTCTTTTTCTCCTAGATACTGGCCTCATAGCTATCGAATACATAGTTGTACTCCAATGCCTTCCAGTGATTGAACAAAAAATTTTTTTATCCAACTTTTTCTGGTTGATCCCTGTGGGAAGTTGATCTGAACTATCTAATTCACTATTATTGAACCCCTCCCCACCCCCCACAATTTAGAGTTTAGGTATTAACTTGCATTTTCTTTGCTTTCATTTCCTTAAGCTTATTAGGCATTCTTATTTAATATTTTGCAGGCCAAGATGCCAATATTTCAATGCTCTTTAGCCCTAATGGTACCACCTGTTCCTTCAGCAGTTCCCTCTGACTGCTGCCTTGTTTCCCTGTGTGTTTTGTAATATTTTGTAAATGCTGTGAACTCACACATGCTGGAACTTTACTTGTGGGATTCTTTTGTGGCCCGATTTGAGAAGAGTTCCTCTGGAGGAATTTCTGTTGCTTCTGTCACGTGCCTGTATAAGGCTTCTCAGTCCACCAGCGTGGTCTAATTTCATATGCTGACCGTACAGAAAGCCTAGCTTGTAATTTTAAATCCTACAGAGTTGGTTTTTTTTTTTTTTTTAATCTTTATCAAGAGCCAATGTTAGGGACAGGCTGCCAGTATCCTCAGGGACGGTGGTACTTGGATTTATTACTCATTTACCTTTGGCCTGAGTGAACCCCAGTTTTGTAAGGTTTGCATCGAGATCTGTCTCCCATTCCCATGGCCTCAAGAATGTGATAAGCAGAACTCAGCTCCAGCTGATGGCAAATCCCCTCGTGGCAAAGCCAGCCTTCCCGTTGTTACTTAGTTCTGGACATCTTAGTATTCTTTACTTTCTTGCCAGAAAGCGTCAACGTGCTTCAAAGGGATTTATAAACCTTTACTTAACGTTGTTGGTAGGTTTCAGAGCGTGGGTCTGTGTTCCTAGCCCACCGTCACGCTAGGCATGAAGTGTCCAGAGGGTACTGTAGTGATCAAGAGTAGGGGAGAGGTGGGGCGCCTGGGTGGCGCAGTCGGTTAAGCGTCCGA